TTCGTCGCGCTGTGATGACGTCAAAGGCGCGATTTTGTCGATCGCGCTTTTGCCGTCCACGCTTTTGACGGGTCACGGGAAAAGGGATATGACATTATCTATCTCTAGTCTACAACACAATTCTTTCACCAGTTCCAAGGCTCCACACACATTTGCACCAATCAGGTGACCCTGATGACACAGAAAAACCTCCAGGTGGTCTTAACAACTGGTTAAAAGAATGCAAATGGATAGCAGTCTGCAAGGAGTATAAATCCTTCCATTTTCCACCATTCAGTCAGAGCTGAAGAAGCTTCTTGGATAAGCGAAACATCTTCAAGAAAAACCAGAAAATCCAGCTGCCTCTTGAAAATGCACCTTTGGGACATTCTCATTCTTATTTTTCCCATATTTTTGTGTACATCTGTCTTTCTCAACTTGAGCCCTGATGACTTTGATCATTTTCCTGCCATTAAATACTGCATCGAATACTGTAGGGCATCAGGATGAATACCAGTATTGAAGAAGCATTTACAGGGCAGAGATCTGGATTAAAAGGCAAGAAAATGTGCAGCTGAGTAATGTCAAAAATCTCTGCATTTCTTCACCCTCTAATCTTAAACTTGGCTATTCAGCATTTTTTTTTCTTTTAGGAATCAAAGCTTCAATGATTACTCAGTTATAATTTTGGTTCAATCATATGGCAGTGGGATATCTTGTCAGATCAGCTGATCATCAGTTCTATTTTGTGAGGGATAATTATGATGAATTTCAATAGCATGTGAAATAAACAGCCCTTCCCTGGAAATAGATAAGGAGGGAGGTAATAATTATTTTCTGCTTTTAACTGTGTAAGCCTTAGTCCCATAGCCTGCAATCATTTCTTATTCAGGCTGTGAATATAAGACCCATCTCTTGTTGGATCATTCTGAAGACCATCTAGTAGAGCATCATCCTATTTCTGAAAAGGTTTAGAATTCTACTCTTATTTCCTCATAAGGGTGTTATAAAGCCAGGCCACATTGGAAGTCTCTTAAGGATAGCCAAGTATCCTTAGGGATTGTGATTATGTACAGCCTCAGACAATCTCAGTTGGGGAACATGAAAGTTCTACTTCCATGACTTAGTGTTACCTTTGATTGTCAACCGGTTAGCATTCCCCAGACAAAGGTGATACACAGTTTGAGGCTCCTCCTGTTCTCATTGCTCTTGCGGCTTTAGAGGCCTTTGCACACAAATGATGTTGTTTGCATTGGATATAAAAGCAGACACATCACTGGAAGCTAAAATCAGAAGGCTCCGTCCAGTTTACTTTGGCCATGCTATGCATGTGAATTCATTGGGAGAAGTCAATGGTGTTAGGAATGGTTAGTGGACAAAGAAAAAGGGGCAAGCAAAGAACACTCTGAGGAATTTCTGACCTTGCTTGTTTTATTACAGATGTTTCAAAATAGGTAACCTCATCAATGGCTCAACATCAACATCAAATCTGATGCAAAGTTGAATTTAAAAAAAATCAACTGAAAGAAGCTGTGCTTGACAGGGTAGCCTAGAGAGTAAAGTCACCAAGAGTCACGACATGACTAAGTGGTGAAAAAGAACAGCATATTGTAAATGCAATGTAATTTTTCTTAATTTGGTGGCTGCAATTCCAATAGGCCCTGCACACATCTCGACAATGCCATGTGGGAGCAAACTATAACAGAATATAATTTTGTGTCTAGTCTGAGAAGAGCCAAAATATGAATTACTTCTGGTGTGGCAAGTCACTTTTCCTTTTCCCTTTTACAGTTGGCCATGGGCAAAGTGAAGGAGACCGTATGGTTGTGTCAGACTTTCACGTGTTTGTCAGAGACAGCTTGCAGCACATAGATCTCATGAAGAAGGATCATCCTGGCATTCCTGTGTTTCTTCTGGGGCACTCCATGGTAAGCACACAATCCTTCCTCATGGAGCCTTGGCCTCCTATAGAGCAGCAGACGCTGTTTATTTTGGGTTAGGTTTCTGAAGTCTAACAATTAATACTGGTGCCAGGAGAGTTTTTTAAAAAAAATCATAGCCTTTTCGGTTTTCTTTCCATGCTTCCTTTACTTTCCCTCTTTTTGTTTCTGTTTCCTTTTATTTTCACAAAAAGAAGTGGCTATGTTATTGCAGTTATTTGTAAACAGCTGCCCACCTAAATGTAAACTACACAGTTGCTAGTTCTAATGTGAAATTACAGATGTACACACCAGTCTCAAGGCTTATTTCCAATATTGAAGAGCTATGAAGCTGGAATTTCTAGAAATGCAAGTGAAAAAATACCCTTCTTATTTTTGCCAAAAAGGAATGATGTGATCTGAATGTATGTATTTATGTATATGTGAGAAAGATAAAAGATAAAATGTTTTTGAGTTTGTCTTAAGCCCTACTGGACTTTACAGGGATTACTGTTCTCATAATTTTCATCAAAAGTCATAAACAAGTGAAGAGTTTGGGGGTTTTTTCAGACAGATAAGAGATAGATGATAGATAGATGATTGGGTGGATGGATGGATGCATGGATGCATGGATGGATGGATAGGTAGATTGATTGATTGATTGATAGATGATAGATAGACAGACAGACAGACAGACAGGAAGATCCCCTTATGCATGTTGGTTAAAATATTTCTATACCAATTAAGGCCATATTCATTTTAAGAGTGAGTTGCCCCATTTTCTGAGATTCTCAAGTATTGTTAAAGGGAAGGATGAATATGCCATTGCTATACATTTCTGCCTTGAGAAGAAACGGAAAGGAAAGAAAATGTGTAAAAAAAAGCCAAACATGAACTTCTGAGTTGGGGTCCACGACTCCGCTTTCCAATTCTACAGGCTACAGAAATTCTTTTGATGGTGAAATAAAATTACAAAAAGAGGGCAGAATCCAAAGTTCCACTTCAAGGAAGCTGGTTGATGAGAAAATGGGTATTTTACATCTTGGGGCTTTATATTCCCATTAGGGGATGCAGTGGCAAGTGGTTTAATGATGCTGGAACGTACTTCCGGTTTACTTGTAGAGTGATTTTTTTGCCCTCCGGAGCCTAAAACCAGCCCTACGAGCAAACCGGAAGTACGTTCCTGAACTTCCTGTTTGCCCGTAGAGTCAGTATTTTGCACTCTGGAGGCGTCAGGGAAGCTCCTGAAGCCTCCTGGGGGGCTGTTTTTGCCCTCCCCATGTTCCTATAAAGCCTCCTGAGCCTGGGGAGGGTGAAAAAAGCATGCCAAAAATGGGGGGAGTGCAGGTCGTGCGCGCATATGTGCTGGGGTCATGCGCATAGCATTACGGGTATGGCATGCCTGCACACGACTTCCCTGCGCTCCCCCCGCTTTTGGCATGCGAGCCAAAAAAGGTTTGCCATCACTGGCCTAGAGGTATATCAAGAACTAGGGTGGACATTGAACAACCTTGTGATACGGGAATGGGATATATCATGACTCATCAACTCTTAATCATTTAATACAAGAATAAACTATGTAAAATAAAAGGTATCCCCAAAGTTATGTTATGGTTTACTCATAATACATGTAATATTCTATGATGTAGACTTGGTGTTACCTTACAATAGAATTTTTATTTTTACTACAGAGGATGTACAACCCTAATCATAACTTGTTTTGAAAGTTTTAAGCTAGTTAACAAAAGTTAAGAAGGTTCAGCGATGAAATGCAAAAGGTAGTTATTAGATATTCACCCTAGCGACAGTGGTTTCCACCAAGGTCTGCTGCTCTGATGGGAACAGAGGTTGAAACCTATTGGTCAAAAGGTCTGACATCCCCCTTTAAAAGGGCTGCTGTCTGGCTCAGCCTTGCCAGATGTTTCTCTTTTGTAATAAAGAGCTGTTGTTACTGTAGCCTTTGTGTGTCTATCCTTTACCCAATCTAACACTGGTGACGAAGGAGGGATTGGAAGGCAACTAGGCAAACAAAAAGAGCATAGAGATCCAGAAGGAACATCCAGCCCGGAGCCCCGGCAAAGGCAGCAAACAGCCACTTTTTTTGAGCGGCAAAATTGAATCGCCCTATGAACGCAGGATGGCTATGCACGCCCCGCCTGCTCCATATGATCCAGTCATCGATCACTGCTATCGCTGCTATGATTTGACTGCTTCCTTGAAGCAAACGACCTCATGGGCGTTCTCGAAGGCCGTAAGAAGAAATGTTTCTCAGCTTCTGTGGCCGGGAAGTGTTCGAGATGGCAAAAAACCTCTCAGAACCGACACCGCTTCAAGCAGTTCCATGGTCCGCGCTACAGCAGACGCTGAAGACCCACTATGTGCCCAAGCCCTCCAAGCACGTTTGCTGGCACGAATTTAACATCAGAAACCAGAAGGATGGCGAGTCGATTAACAAGTACGTAGCGGCACTTTGGAAAGCCGCAGCGTACTGTGAATTCCGGGACCTGGACAAGCTGATCCTGGACCGCATAATTTATAGCGTGTGAGACATTATCCCACAGAGGAGATTGCTCGCTAAATCTAACCTCACTCTGCAGTTTGCATTGGACGAGGCCAGGGCATCCGAATCAGCTGCCAAATTGACGGAGCCTCTGCAGCACCAAAGCGTACCACAGGATGCATGGAAAAGTACCCGTGTACATCGCGAGACTGCCGATCCCGAGGGCTCAGAAAGCGAGGAAGACGACAGCTCCGCATGTGCAGGAGCTGCACCAAGCTGGTGCAAAAATTCAATTCATGTCTTCCGCCCTGCGCTAGCTGCGGAGGAGGCCATGCCCGTTTGTCCTGCCATTTCTACGAAACAACTTGTCAGCATTGCAAGGGAAAAGGACACATCACCAAGGTGTGCCAGAGAGATTTCCCTGCCATCACCTGGCAGCCAAAAAATATACCAAGCTGTCAACAGAGGCCCAACCCAGAGGCCTGGCAGAAGCCTTCATGGCGCGCAGAGGGCAACAGTAGAGTCGCCTATCACACATCAATAGGACAAGTCCGCTCCAAGCGGCCCAAAAAGCTGAAGCTGATGCCCTCCACTACGGCAGAAGCAGTCATCAGGGTGCTACAGAGACTTTTCTCCACGCACGGCCTACCCGACATCTTGGTCTCTGACAACGGGCTTTAATTTACGGCCATGCAATTCGAGACCTTCCTAGCAACTCAGGGAATCAGGCATGCCCTGGTCGTGCCATTCCATCGGCCTCCAATGGTCAGGCAAAGAGAATGGTGAGATCGGCAAAAGAGGTCCTTGCTAGGATGGGCCTGGGAGATTGGCAAACACGGGTTGACAACTATTTACTAATTCAGCACCTCACACCCAGCACCACCACTGGGAGAAGCCCTTCGAGCTTCTCATGGGTCGCCGGCTAAGGTCCCACTTACACCAGCTACACCCCAATTATTCTGCCGCATTGCCCCCAGACTCCACAAGCAAGATTCGGACATTTAGAGTAGGGGATTCGATATGTGCCCACAACTATGCCGGGGGAACTCTGTGGATACTTGCCACAATAATAGGCATCACCAGCCCTCGCTCCTATCTGGTAGAGCTCGAGGACGGTAGGAATTGGAGAAGGCATATTGACCAAGTCCGTGGCCACCTCTCCAACTCCATTCTTAGACAACAAGAGGTAACTCCTGCACGAGTTAGCCAAAGCCCTACCCAAACAGAGCAAACTCTCACTCCTTCCACGGCCAGCTCACGTCGAGGGTTCCGGAAGACTTATCTGATTTTGTTGCAGGCCCGCAGCAAGCTCCAAGCGAGCCAGCTCCAGAAGCTCCAGCCACGGCCTGTGAAAAGTTCCAGGAGTTTACACCAAGTGGGGCTGTGGAACAAACAGGTCCGTCCGACTTGTCCAAGGAAACTCCTCCTACTGAACTGTGCAGGTCAGGCAGAGCTATCCAAAGGCCCGCTACCTGCGTGACTACGTTACCAACAGGATTGTTCCTTCCAAGAGGGGAGGGGTGTTAGATATTCACCCCAGCGACAGTGGTTTCCACCAAGGTCTGCTGCTCCGGTGGGAATAGAGGTTGAATCCTATTGGTCGAAAGATCTGACTGCCCCCTTTAAAAGTGCTGCCATCCTGCTCAGCCTTGCCGGATGTTTCTCATTTGCAATAAAGAGCTGTTGTTACTGTAGCCTTTGTGTGTCTATCCTTTACCCGATCTAACAGTAGTGTTTGTGAGTCAATTGTAATTCACTTCAAAGGAATGGTTTATCATCTCTGAACTTTAATACAGCTATAGAATGTATCAGTGTCCGCTTGTATTCTGGAGATACAGCGTATGCGTATTCATTTCTTGTTCTATTCCTTTTAGTTATCAACAGAATTAGGGTTTTTGAAGGCAAAAAACCCATTGAAAGCTAGGCAAGAAATTGCTATTATCTACTTTACACACATACACAAAAACACTTTTCTTTTTTCTTGTATGCAACCAAGGCATTAGCTATCATTATCCCATAGTAACATGCAATGGATGTTACACTATAGAAAATTACATTGTCTATTCCTTTTTTTAAAGTTACATAAAATGCATTTTTGTTAAATTAAAAGAAAGTTGTAGAACCATTTGAGAGTACAATATGAAATCTGTAATTCTAAACCTCACTCTATTCTTGCTTTGAATTCATATTGAGATCAAAGTGGAAATTCCTGTTAATGCTCACATCATCGTGCTTGAGAGACCGCCTACTGCCAATTACCTCCACTAGACCAATGAGATCCCACAGACTAGGCCTCCTCCGAATTCCATCAG